CTGGTGTATTTGTTAACAATTTTCCATACGAGTACTCTTCTCCCTTCATCTCCCCTCAATTTCTACCCACACTATGATTCAATTTAAGCCTCTTCCACACAAATAAACATCTGCACATTATATATGTACTCTTCATAGTTATTCCACGTGCCATTAACACCCAGTTTAAGTTCAGAAAGGGTAAAAACCAAGATTTACACTGCCTGACAGAGCTAAACACACTGTAGGTGCTTAAATGCTTCAGAACAAAAGGTCAGGTGGTTTTACTAGAGAACTGACACATATCAGTCTGTCCTATTTCAGTCTTTTAACAAGCTGTACTACTATAAAATAAATTGAGAAGAATACAAAATATAATAATACAAAACACGTATTGGCAAGCTTTTTCTTAAAGAGTCAGAAGTAAATATTTCAGGCTTATGAACTATACATTCTCTGTTGAACTACTCAGCTCAGCCCTTGTAGCACAAATGCAACCACAGACAATGTGCAAATAAATACGCCCGGCTGTGTTCCAATAAAACTTTATTTACAGATAGGTGGCCAGCCAGCAGGTTGTAGTTTGTCAACTTGTGCCTAATAAGAAAAATGCTCAGAGCCTATTACATGATGTAGAAGAAAAATATAACTCAGCAAATTAAAAAAGGTTAAAGACAACTGACAAGAAAATACAATAATATCCCATGAGAGATACACTGAGAGTGCTTAGTTTCTGGGGTTATGTGCAGTAATAACAAATTAAAATCATGAAAACTGCGGCAGATTCTAAGGTGATGCCCATGATTCCTGTTTCCTGGTATTAAGGCCTTTGCGTAACCTCTTCTCTTTGAATGTGGGTGGAACTTGTGACTTGCTTCCAACCAAAAGAATATGGGAAAGGTGATGAGATGTCACTTCTGTTACCTAAGACTGTAGCATCTAGCTTGCTGAGAGACATTCTTGCTTACTAGTTTTGAAGAAATAAGAATCCATGTTGAGAGCTGCCCTATGAAGACACAGCCTCTGGCCAAGAGCCAGCAAGGAAATGAATGCTGCCAACAGCCATGTGAGCCAGGAAGCAGATCCTTCCCCTGACAAGCCTTCAGATGAGAACCCAGCCCTGGCTGACACCTGGACCAACTTGCAGAGGACCCAGCCAAGTTGTACTTGGACTCATGACCCACAGAAATTGTGAGATAATAAATGCGTATTGTTTTCAAGCTGCGAGATTTGTTTTAATATTCTACAGCAATCAATAATTGATACAAAAGTATACTCATAACAAATTGTAATTAACTGTCTAATAGCATATCATTTATCTCCTACTTCTAGACCTAAAATTACATAATTAAGTCAGATATTAATTTAAAAATAACATATTCATAAATGTCACACAACTTGTATTTTATTTACTGAAAATGTCTATTAAAGCCTTTTGATACTATCTCTGCAAACAGATCAAGATTCCTTTGCTTAAAAAGAAGCTGCATAAACTCTAAATATTTATGCCATTCCTTCACTTTTGATACTTCTAAGGTGTTCCAAATTTACCCATGTACTAGACTGTCAGGAAGCAATTTAAATGTAAAACATCTCAAAGCATATTCTAGAATTAAAGAATGAAACGTGTTTTAAGAAAAGTCTATCTGATTTTCAAAGTAAAGGTAGGAGTCTCTTAGTTCTTCAATTTATTCCTCAGAGAATGGCCTTTTATGTATTCATATTTGTTTATTTTGTTGTACGCAGGTCTCAAGTAGGCTTACCCAGGGTTTTCTGGCAGTGCTGGCTATCTCTAGTTTCCATGGTTACATGCTCCTGAAACTGCAAATACACTGCTCTGCAAGCCCACACTCATGTGCATGCACACATACAGACAACTGCCTTGGTAAATGAGTAATCCATTTCAAGAAAAAATGGTAAAAAAGTTGACAATCTACAGTAAAAAGTTATTAATGAAAATCATCTTCAGGCTTTAATTTTATCTTACTTCTGGAATAAAAAAGTCTTTGAGTGATGAGCAATACAGTAACGCTCTAGGCTCCTAAACTGACCTCAGATCTGCATATTTAGTTTATATTGGGAACTATTCATCCATTTCTTAAGGCAGATTTCACTCACTGCACAAGTTCTATTGACTTGGGAATGGAGAAGAGTAGAGAACCTAGTAGGTAAGACTCCTACTGCTAACCTAATCTTTCAAAGAAATGTAAAACTGCTTCCAAGTCTTGCTTTAAAGTTTTCTAAAGAAAACAAAGTAGTAGATGATAAACTAAGTTTACTCAAGTTATACAAATTTTTAAAAATCTTAACACACTTTGAAGTTGACAGTAGGGCATAAATAATGCTGAAAAGATTCGAAATATTAGCTTTATGGAATGACCAGACTATAAAGACAAAGTCTTTGGTTTATACCTGTTATATTCCTTTATTCAAAAGTGAATTGACATTTCATCAAGGACAGACTTTTTAAAAATCTTACTGTGCTTTATTCTTGCCTGAGTTTTTCCTTATTACTCATTATAAAAAATCTCCTTAGCTAGATCACCAAGTTCATTAGGCATGCGTTCTGCTTCCATATAACTGAAGACAACAATGTCACTCAGCTTTCTGCCGCTATGTAACAAGGATCCCCCTTCGTCCAGTTTTCAGTAACACAGACCTCATTTCCTTTTGGCAGTGCCCTCAAAGTACAGATTTCCACTAATGATCTGTTGGTGGCAATTTAGGCTTTGTCTTATGTGCTCCTCAAAATCCTTCCAGTCTTTGCCCACTGCGTGGCTCCAATGCCACTCCCACACTTTTAGGTATTTGTTATGGAAGCACTCCCTTCCAAGATACCAAAATTTGCTATGAAATAACATTGCCAATATTTGTAGAAGATGATTGCCTACTTAGAAAATTCAAGTGAATCTATATACTGTTCAAAAGTTGCTGGTTATAAGATTAATATACAAAAATCAACAGCAGTCCCTTGTACCAGTTAAAATCAATGATAAAATATAATGATAAACCCCTCTATTATGGTACTAACTTATTATATTCTACTTATTTGCCATACATGTCTTCTCCATAGATGCACAGTTCCTTAAGGGAAGAGGGCATCTTGTCTATATTTGTAACCCCAATATCTAGTACACACATGGGTGTTCAATGAACACTTATTCAATGAATTATCAATCATCATTGGATTCTTAGTATCATTCACAGACACTTCCCTGGGGAAAAGAATTAAAATTCAGCTGCATATATTTTTTTAAACCACTACAGTAACTCTCCAGACTTTTAGTCATCAAAGAGAAAACTCCCAGGTTCAAATGATGAAATGCCACTCTTTAATTTTCACCTGTTTAGACTGGCAAAGATTTAAAAGTTTAATAATACACAGTGGTGTTAAGGTTGAGGGTAAACTAGTATTCTTATAATTATTGATTGAAGTATAAGGTGGTATAAACTCTTGGGAGAGCAATCTAATAATATCTAACACAAATTAACATGTCTCAATCAAGCAAGTCTATAGCTTGGAATTTATTCTACAGATACTTACATATGTCGCAAAGCTTACATACAAGATTTGCACAATAGCACTGTTAGTAATAAAACAATGAAATTAACTTAATTTATCAGTGGAAAATGATCTAACTCAATTACGGTCATGCATCTGAGGAACTGCTATGCAGTTGTTAAGAGGAATGAGGTGTAAGCATACGAATGCCCACGGAGTGATCGCTAAGAAGCATTAAGTGGAAAGAGCAAGGCGCTAGATGCTCCCATGTATATTACTTACGTAGAAAAATTTGGGTGGGATATCCAGGACAGTACTGTCTCTGGATATGGGGACCGAGAAACTGAAAGGATAACATAATTTTCTCTACATATCCTTTTGTATTTTATGTATATATTCATTTATATCAAAATTGTGAATTACTTTTTCCATAAAATCCTTCAATCACTATTTACTAAAAGATAAATTTTTAAAAATGTGAGTATCATCACCATTTCTAGAATTTTATTATCAGTCATACTGAGTTTGGAATATTTTATTCAGTTGTGGGCACAGCTAAACTGCCAATGCCAGACTAGAAGGTGAGACAAGAGAACCCCCAGGAGAGTGGAGTGTGAAAACCATGATACATAAAAACCAGTTTAAGAAATTATGCCTATTTAGTTTGGTGAAAAATTGCAGTGATAAAATAGCTATTTTCAAATATCTTAAGAGTGTCATGTGAGAGTAGGTAGATTAATTGTGTATTGTATCAGAGGACAAAACTAGGAATAACAAATCTGTTACAGGTATATGGATTAAACATTAGCATAAAGAACTGTCTAATAAATGACAGCATTTTCAACAACAAAGCATTGCTTTGTGAAGTAGTGAGCCCTTTAAACTAGAGAAATCTGTACTCAAATGGTGTTTGATATCTTTCAAGGATTATGGAGAAGTAATTTGTGGCTAGATGGGAGCTTGGATTATGTAACTGCCAAGGGTTATTTCAATTCCAAGATTCTATGGCCTAAACTAAAAATAAGGCAGACAGGGTTACGTACGTATATTTAAATAAAAACTGTTGTAGCTTTAAAGATGGAAAATGCATGATTTATCAGTTTGTGACTCTTCTTTCAATAAAAAAACAGTAATGATAAAATCTGCAATGTATACAATGGACTTATTAGTACATCAACTTCTCAAATTAATCTCTGTAATAATCCCTCTTTAAATACCGAGAGCCTCCAAAAAATCACTTGGCATTAATTTTAGTTTCTTTTAAAAATGGAGCACAACGTGCTCTGAACATTTTTAAATTATAAGATCTACATTTTCAGATATATTTGCCTAATTTACTTCACATTCAGATCAACATCTGAATTTAAATTAGAATTTAAGGCAATTCCTCTATAATTTACCTTAACTCTCTCATAGTGTTAAATACTTAATTTCAGAATAAGCAAGCCCATAAATAACACCATCATGCACAACAGAAAACTGTGGTCAGTAAAGAGCAAAGAATGTATGCTATACTAACCAATCAGGAGAAGTGTTCCAACGGCCAAGCCTCCACCTGGAAATGAAACAAAACCAAGGAGAAAATTAATCTACCTTTTCACATTATCTTTAGCATAAAACTTAGGCTTTATCAAGGACAGGTACTTCAATAACTTTAAAACTGCAGTTGAGAACAACATTTTAATTACCTTTGCAATACTTTGCTTAAGGTGCTATTATGAAATAATTACATATTATATGTAATTACACACTACAGATTACAATTATTTTCATAATACACTGCACTATCCTCCTTTCTTCTGTGATAGGACCATGCAGCATTCAACATAACTGTGGTTATGCATTCCAGTGTTATATTTAGCACTTGTTAATAAATCAACTCAGTAGCTGAGACCTAAATGCACACAGTAACTGAACTACTACAGAAGTACAACACAGAAAACAAAGGTTATTATAATAGAAATTCCACTTCAATATTTATCCTCAATTTAATAAGCTTTGGGGGGGGAACCTTGCTAATTAAAACTAAATCTTTTTCATGATGAATAATGTGCACAAAGTTTGGACATGATCTAAATATATTTAGAATTCAAAATGAACAATGTTTTTGTCATTTCAAACAAAAAAGGCACAATCACAAAATACATTTTCAGTACTACTAGAAAACGTTCTTTTAAATACCTGAATTAGGGTAATATGATCATGAATATATAACTCAAATAAGGACTCACTAAAAATCAATGCAAAATCAAGTTTTAGGAAACTAGAACTACACTAAAAAGATAAGACATTCGACTACTGACATTTTGTTTGTAAAACATTTGTATTACTACAAATTCACTTTAAAATATGTATATCAAAAAATGAAACGTACTTAAGGTACAATTAATTAAAAAAGAAACTAATCAAAATTGTTAGACAACTGAAGACAGTGTGACTAGGGTTTTTTTCTTGTTCCATACAAAGTTGTGAAAGAAATTTTTGAATTACATAAGGCCTGCAACTAGAAATTTAGAACACCAATAGCTTCCCTAAAAAAGTTTTGTAGTGGCAAATGTTATACAGAAAAACTTAGTATGAAAGCTCCCTTTGGTAGTGTTTATTTTTTGCCTTGCAAATAAGCATAAACGTCATGTTTCAAAGAATTTCAAATTTGGTAACATACATGCACACAGAATAAAACGGAACATTTTGACTTTATGATAATAAGTAAAACATTCCAAATTGTTAGAGAAGAAAACAAGCAAAAAAACAGTACATTTATATATTTTTATGTTTAAGTGGATTTGTTATAGTAGTAAATATATAATTTCACATTTAGATAACTTCCTTCATTACAGCATTTAAAGCCACACCAGACTACACAACTTTGTTGTTTAAACTAAAAGACTGACCTAAACTGAAATATATATGATGAAAACACTCAGAAATGATCAGAGCAAAAAGGTTTTCTTTGAGACAAGATTAAGCTAAATGTTTAATTTTACAGTTTCTGCTACATATAGATCACTAGTTACTTTTTAATCCATTTTGAACATTTTAAATCACACTCTTCAACTCCTTACATCCCTGTGTTCCCTTACATGCAAGAAGAAACACTTAACTGTCTCACCGCCATCTTCTGTATATTTAAGGACGTGAAACACCGCAAGTACACAACAGACACTGCAGTGTCTAGGCTAGAGCAGGGGCTACAAGAGGTAGCCACCTTTTCTTTCTTAACCTATTTCTTACAGGAAGGATTTAGATTTCTCATCTAGACTCCCCTGGGTCTACATTCATGTCTCCTCAAATTCGGAATTTACATAAGGCCTGCAACTAGAATAGTTAGAGAATTAAAGTTTTTTGTGAATGCTGTTCACAGTGGGACAATAATAAATAAAGGAATAGTTTCCCAATTAAATGAAGTGATAGCTAGCTCAGGTGTCTGGTCTAGAGAGGTACTAAGGGCTACCTCACCATTCTAGAAATTACTTTTTGACTAGAACAAATCACTAAAGATATATCGTGACTTGATAAATGGTGAGGACCATAACAATAAATCAGACTAAGAAGAAAATATTCTGAAGAATGATCCAAACAATCCACTGTTCCTGATAATCCAGAAAAAAACACTACTCAAATTTTTTAAATCTCATGTACGTTAAAACTCTAATGTTTGGAAAATTTGAACATTACTTAAAACAACACAAAAAGGGGACATCTTAATGACTTTTATCAGCCAAATTTATATCTTATCAGGACTTCTCTCAGAAAAAGGCAATTTTCTTTCTTTTTTTTCTAGTGGGCTGTACTGTGTAAATTCACTGGACTGAAATTTGGATTGGCTCTTTTAGAGGTTGGTCACTCTGAAGCTTGGTCATAGAGAATAAGATGAAATCACCTTGTTAACTATTTTTAAACCAAGCTTTTATTCCATGTATGTGAAGTAAAATGAGTTGACACGTACATATACACACAACAACAGAGGCAAAGCTCCTCTATTCCTGCAAACTTAATTTTAGTGTGACAAAACCTCACGATATTTCCCCAAAATATCTCTGTATAAGGCATTTTGATATACCTCACTTGACGTGAGGTTCTAGCTGTATTTTAAACCAGAGTAAGTTAGAATATGTTTGTAGCCATGTCCCTATCCAAAAATAAAAACCTGGGGCCAGACCCGTGGCCCAGTGGTTAAGGTCGCACGCTCTGCTTCAGCAGCCCAAGGTTTCACGGTTCAGATCCTGGGTGTGGACACAGCACTGCTCATCAAGCCATGCTGAGGCGGGGTCGCACATAGCACAACTAGGACCCACAACTAAAAATATACAACTACATACCAATGGGCTCTGGGAAGAAAAAGGAAAAATAAAATCTTAAAATAAACAAATAAATAAGTAAAAAGCTTAAACAATCAACCATGACAGGATATCTTGATATATTCAACAAAAGCTAGCTTTTATCTTTAAATTCAGTAATCCATTAGTAATTTTATCTAATCTCAAAAGCAATATAGATTTCACACTAGTACTTCCCAATTAAAATAGAAGTATCTTTTCCCAATAGCCCACTAAACGTTTGATAGGTAAGTAATGGGGTGAGTAAGTAATCATCTTATTTCTATGATGAAACGTACAAAGGAGTAAAATGATCTTGTCTACCGCCTCCTCTCTCCTATACTCATGTTCATTACCTCTCTCCTAGACTTGTGATTTCATTATAAGTCTATTTTTCCTTCTCTCTCTAGGACATATGAAACATCCTGACAACTCCTGATTATCACAATATTGGCTGGGCAGATATGAGAATCAGAACAGAAGCAGCTATGAACAGCGAGAATGGTTCTGTAGAATAAATCACATGAAACAATTTTACAGAGCAATACACAAGAAGCTACACTTACCTTAAATGTATAGCTATTAGTTGCTAAAATATCATAACTAGGATATTGCTAAGTATACAGTCCAAGCTCAAGGTACACCATCCCACACTCCAGATCAAGATATAGAGGAGCAAAGGAAATAAGCCTACCAATATTTACTTTTTGACATCAGTGTTGAAATGGCAGCTACCATCAAGATTCTTCAGAGTACTCTTCCTGGACTATTATTTACCCCAAATCCCCATCTTCCATTCACTTGACTGTCAAAATTTAGTAAGTTCTGAACAGCACAGAGGCTATGCCAGTTAAACCTGAGAAGTCACCCTTCCTTCAAGCACCTTCTTGAAGGATAAGGCTGGGGGATAATGTCCCCAGGTTGCACAATACGGTCCTCAAAATGGACTATACCTTATATCCTAGAAAAAAAGAAATTCTGCCAGAACCTTTTAACTGCTATAATTTCTCTTTGGAAACTCCTGGAAAAAGAAAAACGGAATATAGTGTCCACAATAACACAAATGTCCTGGAGGGGCAGGGTTGAGAATGTGGGTTAGGAAATCTCAGAACGTAAAAATTTAAATGTTGCCAACTTGGGAAATGTATATAATTATCCAACAATAAAATTAAGCTGTCAGAATAAAAATATTTCATATGATTAGATCATGTTTAAAAGATGCAGGTAAAGGGAATTCTCAAAGTTATAAAAACACGGGAGTAAGCAACGGAAATATTAGCATATTATCAAATGATTAACATTCAATTAGCCTGTACGATGCCTTTCCAATACATTTTGCATCTGTGCTTAAAATTACAATGATGTCACAGTGGCAGTGGTAAAATATCACCACAGTGCTTGGCAGTGACAATACAATATTTACTTATTACACAGTAACCACAGAATATATTTAAGCAACAATCACGTCACAGTATAGTTTCATCATTCTGATATCATATCCTACTATCATTACATTTTGTCACAATGTGGTTATATTAGGCTTGTCACAATCTGAGTCAAACAACATTTTAGAGTAACAATATAATCTGAATTGCCTATACTTAAGTATATACACATGAGCAGCCACATGTTTCACTTTCAATTGTTTCAATGAAAAACAAATGTAAAGGGTTTGCTCTACAAGGCAAGATAAAATAGAAAATCAAAATACAAAAATGCCATTAAGAAGTTAACAACAACTAAAATACTTTTGCACATATTTATTATTACAAATGTAGTAGCTCCTATTGTAATAACTCCTTCGATTTATGCACACTTTGAGAATTAACTGCATACATGCAAAATATATTTCAAAATATCCAAAAACTGCTATTTATTTCAGCCTTCTTAATGAACACTATTTTTTAGCATAAGCTTGTTACAGTCATTTACTAGAGTCCCCATCCCCAAGCAAATCTGAAAAATTTTTAAATTACAGTTTGAGTTTACATCACTGTAGAAACACAGGAGGAAAGTGCTCTGGGTTACCTTTTTGGGTGTTTTTAGAGACTGTAGTTAAATCACTAGTTTCAGTTTCAATAAATGGTTAAAAGCACCTGAAATGAGTCTGCAAAAATTTGAAACAGCTGTAGCATAGTGCGGAACACTAAATTTGGAGCCTAAAGATCAGCCCAGACTGTCACTGGTTCTGTGAATGTCCACGTCACTTAAGTGTTTTTAGAGCTCAAACACATAACTCAGTCCTACAGGTTTCATATTCTCTTGTGCAGATCTTTTTCTACATACTATTTTTCTTTCAATCAAGAACTTATTGAGAATCTAAGTGCCAGGAACTGTACTAGACACGTTCTGTAATTCTAACGAGGAACTGAAGGGATAATGTCAGAAATATGACCTTTTTGTTTGGAGTTTCAGAATCAAGTGAATGAAGTTACACATCCCCATTGAACTAAAAACACAGACAGGTAAGGACTAGGAAAAGCTTCCAAGTTTTAAGTTCAAATATAGTACAATACAAGTGAGGCTCACAAGGAAAAAAAAAGCGAGATAAATATTTGCTAACTAGATATTTTGAATCATTTCTGTTTATAGTACCATGTAATTTAGGAAGGCAAAAGACTTGAAAAAATTAAGTGAAAATACTTAACGTAGAAATAACCAGGATCCACTTATGGACATGACATAACAGACGGAAGAAGCCATGCTCTTTCTCATAGGTTGCTTGCCTTGTCATTTTCCTTTGCATCAAACCTTTGTGAAAAGCCTACCTCGTGGGAAAAAATTACAGAGAGAAAACGTCAAGAATAAGCAATGGCATTTATACTATTTCATGAAAGTGGGTAAGGCTTAACTGACACATGCCACATGCTATGAGAAAGTTATGAAATATAAACAGACCAATTTTAATGAAGCATCATTCTGAAAGAAATTAACTAATTTACAAGCTTTATTAACACAGCAGCTCTGTCTTACCAACCTAACCTGCCCAACTCCTTCAACATAACAGCTATGAAACAAGCACATTCTTCAGCAGGCTTCTCATGAAAAACTCCAGGTTATACAGGAAAGCCTAAGAACTGCACTTCTTTTTCTCGTTAAAATGTGAACTGCCTTTAAACATATCGTTGGGAGTGTAATGCTGGGACACACACACAGACGGGAAGAAACTGAACAGGAACACACACACATGCTTAGCGCAGACACAACGGGGATGTCAGCATCGACGACGGGCTGGAACGCCTCGCACTCACAAGAGCCTCTAACAGTCATCCTCGCAAACCGAGACGGCTTGCTTCGAGATTCAGAACCGGGGGCTGAGCGGCCTGGCGGCGAAGGAGGGCACGCTACCTTTCTCAGCGTTTTCTAACGGAGCCCGTCTCTCCCAGTGACGCCAACTTTCGCGGGGTGGTCCAAACCCCGAGCTGTCCGGGGCTGGCACAGGGAGCACCCCGACACGGGGCGGGGCCGGGCCGCGTGCGCACGTGAACGGCCGCCGGGACCGGGCAGCGAGCCGGCTCACGGCACCTGGGACCCCGCGCACTCCGGCTCTCACGAGGCCGGCGGGCCGCGCCGAGGAGGGGCCCACGGCGCGCACGGCACCCCGCAGCCCGTCCTCCCTCCGCCCGGGCCGGCCGCATCCGCTCCGCGTCCGGAGGCCGAGGCGGCGGGGGCTCCCCGGCAGCCCCTCCCGAGGGGTTCCCGCTGCGGAGCCCACATCTCCGTTCGGAACCGACCTAAGAGCTGGTCCAGGGCTGGGAGCCCGGTGGACACCAGCAGCTGTCCGTTCCGCACCGACGGCCGCGTGCCCGCGATGGACGCCAGCCGACGGCAGCCGCCGTCGGGGCCGCTGGCTCTCGGACCCCTCCTCTGGAAACTGGTGACGCTGTCCTTGCCGGCCGCCGCCACCACACACCCGGGCGCCCCGGCGCGGGGGCCGCAACTCGTCGCCGCCGCCGCCATCTTGGCGCTCCCGCCTTGGCCAATGGGAACTCCGGTAACTGCGGCGGCGGCCCGTCAGAGCCGCCCGCGGGCCCGCCTCCTTGCCCCCCCGCGGCGCCCGTAGCCAATAGGACTGAGGCTTCCCTCCGCGTCAACCAATCGCAAGGCGTACTGCAGAAACGTGCGCTTACGTAGGGCCGGTGGACGCTGCGGGGCCCAGGTGAGGAAGGCCCACCTGGGTCCCGGCTTGGGGGTCTTCCGGGTTCTCCGGGGCGGGCGGCGTCCTTCCACGCTCTGTTCGCTCTGCGTGTCTTCACGCACGCTGAGGTGGAGGGGAGGCCGGTGGGGCGGGTGTGGGTGCGCTCACACACGCCGGGTGGGGAGGCCGGTGGAGCGACTGTGCGTGGGCTCACGCCCGCCGAGGTGGAGGGGAGGCCGGTGGGGCGGGTGTGCGTGCGCTCACACACGCCGGGTGGGGAGGCCGGTGGAGCGACTGTGCGTGGGCTCACGCCCGCCGAGGTGGAGGGGAGGCCGGTGGGGCGGGTGTGGGTGCCCTCACGCACGCCGGGTGGGGAGGCCGGTGGAGCGGGTGTGCGTGTGCTCACGCCCGCCGAGGTGGAGGGGAGGTCGGTGGAGCGGTTGTGCGTGCGCTCACGCCTGCCTACGTGGAGGGGAGGCCAGTGGAGCGGGTGTGCGTGTGCTCACGCCTGCCTAGGTGGAGGGGAGGCTGGTGGAGCTGCGTGATGGCCCCGCCGGTAGGACCCTGCGGCTGTGTCCCAGCCCCGGCCCTTCCCCACGATTTCTGGGGTCGGGCCCCCGCCCTCCCTGCGGGGTATTTCTGGTGGTGTGGTGTTTGAGTTGGAAAGGCCATCCGTTCCCTTGGCCTCAGGCGGCAGGTGACGAAGTGTCCCTCTCCAAGCCCCCGAGAGAAGCTTCGTGGACTTTAATTAGCGCCCCTGGAAGGCTGGGAGCGTCTTTCCCTCAGTGGTGTGAAGGACAAGTATTACTCTGACGGCCTAGTTCACACCTTTAATTGTTCGCTGTTAAGGCAGCTGCAAATAACAGCGCTTTAGGTTTCTTCCCCAAAAAACTTTAAGAATGAGATGTGTATGTACTTACTTTTTCTAGTGATTTGTGAACTCTGGATTGAGAACTTTCTTATTAGAACAGGAATTTTATAGGCGGAAAAAACCATGTAATTTAGAGCTGAGTGTTTGGAGTTAAAAATCTTTTCAAAACTGAGCGGGGGGGGGGGGGGGGGGGGGGGGGAGTGATGTTTAAAGGCGTTCATGATTGACAAATCTCTAAACTAAAAAAGACTCCCAAATCATGCCTGCACTACCAAATTACTAGTTTTGATAGTGATCTTATGATGCTTTTTAAAAATACATCCAAACCTCATTGGAATGCTTGCCTTTGAGTTGTAGTAAATCTCAGTGACCTGTTAGAACTTTCTGGCTGATTCTCTTTGCTAAATTGAAATTAGTATTGCCATATAGTAACTGGAGTTTTCATCTTGGTAAGATCTTTGAGTTTTGTTTGTTTTTTGCTGAGGAAGATTTACCTTGAGCTAACAGCTGTGCCAATCTTCCTCTATTTTGTATGTGGCTCACCACCACAGCACAGCTGCTGACCAGTGGTGTAGGTCCATGCCTGGGGTCTGAACCTACACTTCCAGCCTGCCGAGGCAGAGTGTGCTGGATGTACCCAATACGCCACCAGGCTGGCCCCTGTTTGTTTGTTTTTTAAAGAAAACGTTCAGGAAAAAAAACAAACCTGCCTTGCTGTTAACAACATATCAGCTGGAAAGCTAGATCAAGGTTTAGGTGCTGTCATTTCAAATTTTTTGCCAGTATAAATCTGTAATCTGAGTAATTCAATAAATAGCTGTTGAATGCTTGCTGTCTGTTTTGACCTAATTGCATCATTTTTGACCTATAGAACTAAAAATGTTCTTATTTGGGGAGGGTAAGATTAACATAGAAAACAGCATAGCACTCAAAGTGGACACATTGAACAGCGTGTGCTAATTTTGTCCTATAGTAAGTAAGTGCTAAGAAGACCAAAACAAAAAGTGACAATCTGGTATCAAATAGAAACGTCTTGGATACTTTTAGTGCTCTGAAAACTTTGAAATACTACAAATAGTGAATTTTTGTAGGTTTTGTTACTACATATTTCCTTGGTTTCTCCTCTACTTCTCGCTTTAGTTCTTTAAAGGTGATGCCATGATGCTTTGTTTGCTTTATTACTGGAACTGAAGAACTGTTTTCAACTTTAACGGTAATTTGGGAAGCATGACATATATCTTTGGTATAACATCATCATAGAGTAGATTAATCTGTCCTAATTTTTTTACAAAGACAAACGCTATGCTCTCTACTTATCCTTCAAGTCTCACGTTAACCAACACATCCTCAGTAAAGCCATTTCACCTTGCTGTCAAAATGAAATGAGCTCCTAAATACCAACGAGTGGAATTGGAAATTAAAAATACAATACGATTTACAATAGTTTCCAAAAAATGAAATACTTAGGTATAAGTCTCAAAAAGAAATGTATAAGATCTATATGAGGAAAACTATAAAACTCTGATGAACAAAATCAAAGAAGAACCAAATAAATGGAAGGATATTCCATGTTTATGGATAGGAAGACTCAGTGTTTTCAAGATGTCAGTTCTTCTCAAATTGATCTATAGATTCAATGCAATCCCAATAAAAATCCAGCAAGTTATTTTATGGATCTTGACAAACTGATTCTGAAGTTTATAAGGAGAGGCAAAAGACTCAGAATGACCAACACAATATTGAAGGAGAAGAACAAACTTGAAGGACTGACACTGCCAGACTTTAAGACTTACTACAAAGCTACAGTAATCAAGACATTGTGGTAGTGGCAAAAGAATAGACAAATTGGTGGAACAGTATAGAGAGCACAGCACTAGACTCACATAAATATAGTCAATTATCTTGGACAAATGAGCAAAGACAATACAATGAAGCAAAGATAGTCTTTTCAACAGATGGTGCTGGAACAACTAGACATATACATGCAAAAAATTAACTCAAAGTGCATCGCATACCAAATTGTAAAATGCAAAACTATAAAACCCCTAGAAGATAATATAGAAAACTTAGAGAACCATGGTGATGGTGGTGCTGTTTTAGATACAGCACTAAAGACATGATCCACGAAAGAAAGAAATGATAATCGGGACTTCGTTAAAATTTAAAACTTCTGCTCTGTGAAAGACAATGTCAAGAGAATGAGAAGAAAAAATACGGACTGGGAGAACATATTTGCAAAAGATACATCTGATAAAGTGCTGTTATCTAAAATATACAAAGACTTTTTAAAACTCAACAATAAGATAACGAACAACCTGATTTAAAAATGGGCCAAAGACCTTGACAGACACCTGACCAGAGAAGATATACAGGTGGCAAATAAGCAAATACAAAGATGTTCCACATCAAATGTCATCAGAGAACTGCAAATTGTGACAACATTGAGATACCACTGCACACCTATTGGAATGGCCAAAATCCAGATCACTGACGCCACCAAATGCCAGTGAGGATGTGGAGCAACAGGAACTCTTGTCTATTGCTGATGGGAAAACAGAATGCTACAGCCACTTTGGAAGACGGTTTGGAGATTTCTTACAAAATTAAACACACTCTTAGCATACGATCCAGCAATTGTACTCCTTGGCATTTACCCAAAGGAGCTGAAGACATTTCCATATAAAAATCTGCATGTGGGTGCTTATAGCAGCTTTAATCTTAGTTGCCAAAATTTGGAAGCAACCAAGATGTCCTTCAGTAGCTGAATGGATTAAAAACAGTGTGGTGAATCCAGACAGTGGAATGTTATTCAATGCTAAAAACAAGTGAGCTATCAAGCCATGAAAAGATGGGGGAAACTTGAATTCAAATTACTAATTGAAAGAGGCTATTTCAAAAAGCTGCATACTGATTCCAAGTGTATGACATTCTGGAAAAGGCAAAACTATGGAGACAATAAACAGATCAGTAGTTGCCAGAGGTGGTAGAGGGGAGAGATGAATAGGCAAAGCACAGAATTTTTAGGGCAGTGAAAATATTCTGTGCAATATTATAATGATGGATATATGTTATTACACTTTTGTCCAAACCCATAGAATGCACAGCACCAAAAGTGAACTCTAAGGTAAACTGTGGACTTTAGATGATTATGATCTGTCAATGCAGGTTCATCCTTGGTAAAAAATGTGGCATTCTGGTGAGTGATGTTGGTAATGGGGAAGGATATGCCTGTGTGGGGTCAGAAGTATATAGAAAATTTCTTCCTCTTAATTTTGTTATACTCCTGAAACTGCTCTAAAATAGTAAAGTCTCTAAAAAAAAAAAAGTCAAAAAAAAGGATCAGCTATATAAAATCTGTCTGAGAGTTCCATAAGCAACATGTATGGCACCCTTTGTGGCTACATTGTGGGGCCATTTCCACAGGGGTTCCAACAAGTTGGCATTCTGAGAAGTCTTCGGGTACAATGGAAAGACTGCAATGACCTATTTAGGAGTCACCAGAAAACATAATGGTCATGATACGCAATTAGCACCCCATGACAAAAATGGGTACCCTTTCAATTGGTCTTTTAGTGGCTTTTCTGATACCCAGGGTCCATATTACCATGGTGTCAGTGCAGGTAAAGCATATAACAGAGATATTGTGGAGCCTTACTACAGGCCTGATGGCATTTTGGCAGCATGATTGAATGAATGCCAAGGACATACCTACACAGAGGGAGTTCTTGGACCCCACGTAATCCCTTTTTGCTTCCTGTTAGTGTGCTCAAAGAGGGAAACCAGTCCTTACTTCCAGCGTCGCAGATTTGTTTTACCTGTTTTTGTACTTTATATAAATGAAGCCATACACTGTGTACTCTTCTGTTTGACTTCTTTTGCTTAACATTATATTTATGAAATGATCGTTATTAATGTTACAGTTGTGGATTACAGCTGTATAGTATTGTGAAAATATATCACAATTCGCTATAAATTCCAAGAGAATTTCAATTGAAATTCAATTGAAAGAGATTTGGCTAGTTTACCA